CTTCCTCACATTTAAGTACTAACGATGATTTGACAGCTCAAACAGGATCATCCCTTTGTCTTCTAAGGTAATATCCGATTTAGCAAAAGTTAAAATGACAGCCTTCTCATCACATATTTTCCCCATGTCACTTTTTCGGATGAAAATTTTTAATTGTGTTCTATGTCTTAGATCAATGGACAAGTACGCGAGGCTTATGCAGAAACTAGAAATTGTTAATGTTGAATTCTTTAAGGTACCAATCCTGATTTTAGGAATTCTGCAGATTCCTCTACGATTCTCCTTCAATTTCTTTTCTAAAGTTTCTCTTACACCTGTTTTGAAATTCGTAGGGAATATGCCAATTGTTTGGGGTCTTTTTCTATGTCGTGTTTCAAGTTTTTGGTCAAGAACATACTAATTCAGGTGGAAAAGGAGTTGCCGACTCTTCCAATCGTGAGTTACAGATTTGATTCCTTTTGATGCTGCTCTTTGTTTGTAATGTTACTCCCGACCAACTTCAGTATGAGTCATGTTATGACTTTTAGGACTACAATCTCTGAGTAAATCCATTTTGGTCAACTTAAAATGTAATTCAAATTTCTGAAATGCAGATCGTCTGAAAAACAGCTTATCACGGATTTCACAAGAGTGTGAGCAATGGATAAAACCTCAGTTTTCTTCATCACCATCTTCTTCACTTTCCTTTCCCAACGCAGTTCATAGTCTTGCGGACGTGACTCCTGCAAATCCCTTAAATACAACGTCTGGTCACTTATCAGGCGTATCTTTTAGTCTCAAGGTATAAGTTGGGGCTAGGTTTTCATCAATCTGAACTAGACTTAGTATTGTTTTCTGTCAGTTAGTAAATCTACATATAAGTATTCCGAGTCATTTTTTTTACGTATTTCATATATGAAGCATGAGAAGAGAAGAGCAGCTGCCTTAGTGCTTCCTAACATCTCAAAGTTGTATAATAAAAGGTTTCTGGAACACGTGATTATCGGTTGCAGGAAAGATGTGCTGCAGTGGACACTGTTTCTCTTGTGGCTCGGATATTGCATAAATCAAAGGCCCATCTCCAATCGATGCTTATGTCAAGAAATGGCTCTCTGGTTGAAGATTTTTTTGGTGAACTGGTATGTGCCTCTTTCCGTTCTGATTCCATAGAAACTCTGCCTTGAAATATATTGCCTCTGTTGGCAACAATCTGATCATGCATAGACCTCTGTAGCGTCCAATAGTCTTTTGCCTCATTAAAAATAATGGATTATGCAGGACATGTTCATAAGTAGTTTCATTGTATTCCTTTGGTAAATTAATTTTCAATATATATATATAAGTCAAAAACAATTTATATACAATATGTGGTAGTAAATATATTTGAAAGAGTTGCATTAAGTGGAATGATTCATCAGGTTGGTTCCGTACCTGATCTGACAGAGCACTTGCATAGGACAACTGCGAGGATACTGCTGCATGTTAATGGGTAAATTACCGATCTACTTAAGAAAGTTATTAGATGGATTGCATCTCTCTCCTCCCTTGTGCCTTCTGTTCTTATTCTTACAGACCTCAGGATTTTTGAATCTGTTACATTAAATGTACATACTGTGAATTCAATCGTTGTAAAGTCGAAGTTTGGATTTTATGTTATTGGTTCTCATAGGGATTGTGTATGTTTATTGACTTTCAACTGATTTTGCAGATATGTAGACCGAATTGCTAATTCTAAATGGGAAGTGAAGGAGCTTGGAGTGGAGCACAATGGGTTTGTTACTTCATCAATCTGTTACTCCATTTACCCTTTTGAAATATGTACCTGCAAGTTCAATTAAATCATGAAATATTTAACTATTTAGATGTTCATAGTTTTTCAAAAGTACTTTTTAGAATGCTCGTGTTGTACAAAGCTATCATTGGGTAGCTGCCTATATAATTGCCAGATGATGTAGATATACACGGTTGATGCTCTGTAACTAGATTCTGACCATTTTACTTGGGCTGTCGGATCATTGATTGCTTCGCTGCCATCTAATATGTAATACACTATTTGAAATAACAGGTATGTTGATTTGATGCTCGGGGAATTTAAACACTACAAAACAAGGCTTGCTCATGGAGGCATTCCACAAGAGGTAAATGACACTCTGACCTCATTAATTCTAGAAGTTGACTATATCGTCAGAAAATATCAATGCTTGCATCTTTGGATTGGGACATCAGTGATGACTGATTTCCTGAGCCCTCGATTAGGAGTTGGCACATGTTTAGGGTTTGCCTCCTTGTGTGTGTCACAATCAAACTGAACAAATCCTGCGTCTTAAACAATCATAACTTTTTTTTTTTCATATATAGGTCCAAAACCTCCTACTGGAATATGGAGTTGAAATATTTGCGGAGATGCTGGTTGAAGGTTTATCTCGAATAAAAAGATGTACCGATGAAGGACGTGCTCTCATGTCATTAGATATTCAGGTACTTTTCCCTTTTTTTTCCCAGTGTTATTATTCTCTTGTACACGAGATTGTACATGAATAATAAAAGTTTCGATCAGCATTGACGTACATTCCAATGCTGAATAGAAACTTCTCATAAACAACGCAGTCACAAAGATTGTCAGCATGGGACAAAACTTTACTCTGTATTGATGACATAATGCATTAGCAATTGATATATTGAATCACGCAGTGACAATGTTGGCTGACATTATCTATCTTCTGGTAGGTTCTAATAAATGGGCTACAGCACTTTGTGCCAACAAATGTGAAGCCGAAGTTGCAGATAGTCGAAACATTTATCAAGGTAAAGCAAAACAGAAACTCATATGAAATCAAAACAGAAACATTTGTCACGGTGTAAACCGAAATCCTCACTTGTTTTTGCAGGCATACTATCTACCAGAGACGGAATATGTTCACTGGGCAAGGGCTCATCCGGTAAAGAAAGAAATACTTTCTAATTTTCTGGTCTTGCGTAAATAAACCAAACGAGTGAAATTTGCTTCAGTCTTGATGAGAATTTGTAAAATATACAGGAATATACAAAAGGACAGGTCATTGGACTGGTAAACTTAGTTGCCACCATGAAAGGTTGGAAGAGGAAAACGCGGCTGGAAGTTGTGGAGAAGATTGAATCAGCTGCGGCGTAGATCAATCTAGATGCGCAAGTAATAC